ACTCTGACTAGTTCTGTAACTCCTGCATACTGAGTTTCTGCTGCTTTTTACTTTGTCGCTGGCCTTCCTGTGTCCTTTTCCATCTTTGTAAAGTCTCACAAGCAGATTTTTTAGTTCTGCAGCTGATTTTTTTCCCCTCGTGGGGCCACGATGCAGCCATGCAGGTCCACAACTGAGAAAGCTCTGGTGTTCACAGGTTATTTTATCACCATGCTCATGCAGTTAGGTTAGTTAGAACTCACAAGTGTACCCAGCGTGTGTTCAGAGGTTACAGGTTGTCTAAAGCGCATCACTTTGGTTTCATTGAGTTTCTACTTTGAGGCCTTTATTCTCAGTTTAGTCTTTTCAAAGTATTTCTTTTTTATATAAGAGTCTACAAATCACACACACTTTAAAGCCATGATATAGTCCAGCTTATTTCACATTTGTTCCCAAAAGGTCGTAACAGAAGCAGAGGAAATGGAGACGGTGATGAAGATGAAGAAGATGATGATCAGGCAGGAGAGTTGCATCACTCTTGTTGGCTTCCTGTAAAAGTAGGAGGGTGGTATGAGAAGAGGATAAATGACCTGCCTGGTACAGAGTTGCACCACTACTGCTGACAGCCCCTCATCCCTGCATCCGTCCTCCCTGATGGACGGCACTGGGGACCCCCCGCTCTGCTTCCCCAGCCTCAACTCCTCCTGCCGGCGGCTGCTGCGACCCGGCTCGGAGGCGGCTCTGCTCTACGCCGCGCTCGCCTTCATCTCCCTCGTCACCGTGGTCCTCAANAACTTGTGAGACTTTACAAAGGTGGAAAAGGATACAGGAGGAACTAAACATCTGTGAAACAGCAGTGATCAGGAGGTATGCACAGACCTGACAGTGAAGCACGGCGGTGGGAGTGTGGCGCATGAATGCAGAAAGGCGTCGTAGAGATGACATTTTTCTATATCAATATACTGGCTGAGAAGATGACTTCCAGTCTGCAGAAGCTTCACAGAAGAGGAATATTTCAGCGTAATGATGATCCAAAGCACACTGTCAAAATCACTTAAGAGTTTCTAAAAAAAAAAAAAAAAAAAAAAAGTGAAAACTGTGACCTGGACAAGTCTTTTAGCTGACATGGATCTGATTAACACAACCTCTCTGAAAATAGTAGATTATCTCTGCAGAAGTTAGTGTAACACCGATATTGTCTCTACACAAGGATAGAAATAAAATTAAAGATTTGAATCTCACTTAAGTTTCATTACGTTCCCAGTATGTGGCCTGTGTTGTTACTGTTCTGTTCATTTGTCATTTTACACAAGAGCAAATCCCAACTGTTCAACTTAGAAATCATAAAATTATCAGGAAGTGATTTGGCATTCAGCGGGGTGTACTCACTTCTGCAGGATCCTGTATTAAGACATTATAAGAGATAAAACTATTTCCTTACAACAAACCCCTGGTACCTCACTTCTGCTTTATCTGCATTTTGTGAGTCCCTGTTCTGTTTAAATATATTTACTTGTGTCTTTAACCTGCAACACAATCACTGTTTGAGCCTTCTGGTGCTTTTAATGAGTGGATTTACTGCATTAGTTTCGATTCCAAGATGCTGATTTAAAATCCGACTAAAAGGTGAACATTCATAAATCCACATGACGTCATTAGGAGGGAGAAGAAGATGTGATGAAGACGATGAGGAGGTGTGGGGAAAGATGGGAGGGCGTTTTGGACGAAGATAAATAAAGTGTCTACAGAGGAGCTGCATCTCTTCCCGTCCTCCCTGATGGACGGCACTGGGGACCCCCCGCTCTGCTTCCCCAGCCTCAACTCCTCCTGCCGGCGGCTGCTGCGACCCGGCTCGGAGGC